ACACACACACACACACATATATATATATATATATATATAAAGAGAAAGTTAGAGTATATTTGACTTCGTAATCTATCTCTTTTCTTCACTCGATAAATTAAAAAAAATAATTATAAAATCGTTTAGATTGATTTCTTTTTTATTCTAAATTTATTTTGATGACTCTGAAATTTATCTAAAGTTTATTATTTAAAAATATGCATATTATAATGGTTTTATTTTAAAGATACTATAATTTCAGCAACTTCTCGAATCTCTCCTTATATTAATTAAGGTCAGTTATCTAACACGAAAATATATCTAAGATATTTTTTATGAATTTTTTTTAAGTATTTTTCTTTTATATAAGAGATTTTAGTGACTCTTTTAACTTCTTATTGATTTTAATTTTTGTTTCATGTTTATAAAATTAAATTTTTTAATTATTTTAAAAATAAATGGCCAATAATTAAAAATAATTTTAGATTACAATATAAATTTTTATCATAAAATTAAAATATATTTTATATATTTAAAAATATATATTTATATAATTTTAAATATAACTTATATATATTTTTTATTTATATATTTTTATTATAAATTTTAGTTTTATACAATTAACATTTATTTTTGTGTATTTTACTTACTAAAACATTAGTATTTTATTTACGTATGAAACGAATAATTTAAGAGGACTGTTTCCCTCCCCCTTAAAAAAATGACTATTTTGCTAAGATTAAAAAAAGTTTTTTTTTACTCGTGAAATGAAACAAAGTTAACATTCAGGTTTATTATATAAAAAATATTAGCAACACATATTCTAGCAATATTTTATTTAGCAAAATACATGCGAGTCTCATTGAACATGATATATGAGTATAAGTAGAAATGGTTCGATAATTATATTTTTTTTAATTAAAGAATTGAGATTTTTATTTTAAACACGGAGCCTCGATTGGACGAAAATAATCACATTATTTCATTTTATAAAAATTAAGAGATCAAATTAATAGTTACAAAAAAAAAACAAAAAAAAAGTATGACGTTGACCATTCACTTTCTTAGTTTATCTGTTAAGATGTAGGAATCATTCAGATATTGAAACAAGTTGAGTTAAGGAAGTAACGTGTACCTGTAAATTCTGCTATTAATGGACAGCGTCAAATTCAGACTAGTCGGTAGATGTGAATGGAACCCTCAGTGAGTACACGAGAAAAGCCTCTCCAATTATTCATGCCCATACTTTTTACTTTATAACCACAATAGAATGTTTGGACATAGGGGTCAACTTCGATACGAAACTCGAACCCAAATCCATAAAATTGAAAGAAAAAAAAAGGTGAATTTTAATAGATTATCGACTTAGACGGATTAAAAATGTAATTTAAAACAATTAATTTCCATCGAGTCTGATTTTAGTTTTTAGATCAGTATCTCAACTCAACTCAAATAAAATAGATATTAAAATAATTATTATTTAAGTTTAAAAGTTAAATTTATTTTAATTTATCTTTAATCTTTATTATTAATGTAAAAAAAACTTTAGTTAATGATATAGTTTGTAACTTTTTTTTTATATCATGTACCTAAAAAAATTATTATAATATTTAAAATTTTAAATTATTATAATAATTTTATATTCAATAGTTGATCACCCACATAAAATAATTGAAAGATTTTGTCACATAATTGATAGATTTCTGAAATAGAAATTTTAATTTTAAGTGTCTTATACACAAATTTTAGAAGGAGAAAGATTCTAGAGTTTATTTAGATAAATTTTTCTGTAAATATTCTTAAAAGAAGAAAATAAAAAAGAAAAATTAAATAAATTTAATTATAAAATCCCTCTTTGGATGAATTTTTTTTAACATTAGAAAATGTACTTTTCCAAAAAATAATTATTTAATAATCAAATAGAAATTTTTTCTTAAGAAAAATCATAAAATTGTATTTTTAAAATATTCTAGACAAATACATTAAAAAAAATGTTTATTGTACCTTTTAGAAATTAATTTTAAACAAACGGACCTAATACTTTCTTTAAAATTTAATTTTTAACTTATTTAGACATTAATTTTAGATTAAAAGAAATATATTCTATTTTTTATTATATTTTTTCTTCCTAAATGCATTTATGAGGCAATTTATCTAAACACATTCTTGATTTTTATAGGATGTGAGTCCGAGTTGCTCAAAGAATTATGTGTAATATATATAGCAAAGGTTATTACAAGTGGTTAAGAATATGAAATTAATTTTGATCATTTTCTCGTGAACGCATGTATAATTTTTTGTAAAGCCACTAAATTTTTGTTCGATAAGTAACATTAAAACAAAAGGGGGTAATTGACCAATATAGGACCTTTTATTAACTTTCTCTTTCAGCACCGTAATTTTCTTTTAATATTTAGACCTTGTCTTTTGTCCAAAATATATGTTTGATATTTTACCTATTTCAAATAATATTAATTAACCTCTCCTACTTAACAATTATTATTCAATTATTCCAGTTAAAAATATTTTAGTCTTTATACCAGTATTAAATTTCTCAACGTGCGTGTAAAAATATTAAACATAAAAAAAAATGATTTGCCAAGAGTATTATTAAAATACAGTTCTTTTGAAACATTTTATTAATGTTAGATTGTCAATGCTTTCCATGTCACGGGGTGAGAACTCAATTTTGTCTTCTTTTTTTTATATTAATTTCATTTAATTATTTTATACTATATTAATTTTAATATTTTATTTTATCTTTTTTTCATCTGTATTTAAAATCTATTTTTATTTTAATTTATAAATACACAAAAAAGAAAATGAATCATAAATTATTACAAATAAAACAATTATAAGTTAAAAGAGAACAGAAAAAAAATATAAATATGCATGCCAATGAAATGATGGAGCAACACCTTCACAACACCTGCACCCCAACTTGCAACGCTATGGACTCATCTCACCACATTCATCACTCTGACTGCAGCAGCCATAACCACGACTATTGCTTGCTTACGCCTTACCATCTATTATTTCTTCTGTTATTTTTGTCTTATTATGATTTGCATGTCAAATAGAAAGTTTCTATGGTTCTCATACATAAAGTCAAGTTAACAACATGATATTATATATTTTGTTAATTAGTTTTATATTCTTTAATGGTTATAATTTATTATCACTGTCATTACGTTAAGTGTTAAGTAAGATACAGTTTTGTTATATAGGTTTGGTGCATGATAAAACCACTGGAAAGTGGTTAGCAAAATAATAAAAATAAATGGGCGGGTCTAAATCAATAAACGAATAGTAAAGATTTAAAATGTTTTAAAATGACTATTGTAATGCCTATGTTTTCTTCTTACTTCGATAATAATAACGAATAAAATGAACTTAAATTACCTGGAGATGCTAAATAATTAAAAATGTTTCATATTTGCAATAAAATAATTAAA